AAGATGGTCATAAATTTTTACACAGATTACTTGTAAGATTGATAAAAACTTCATAACAATTAGACTGAGATTTTATCAGAATGAAATAAATTGTACATATGTCTAGATATTGAAAATATTCTATGCAGAAAATCCGGAAAAATTTATTATTATTATTTTATTTTTAGAGATTTCGTGAATTTTCCGTTATCATCCGTTTTCTTATGACATTTTAGCATAGCATTATCTCAATCCTTCTCCGGAGGAAAACGAATAAAGCCACGTTAATCACATACGAATAATTTCTTTAAAAGTTATATTTTTTTAAATAGTTGAATTTCAAATCTCCATTTATAAATGTAATATGAATAATATTCAAATACATCAATAAGAGATTGATCTCAATTCTCTAATACAGTGTATTGATAGAATCTATTTGACAGTGAAGTATCTGTAAGCAAATTTTGATAAGAAAACTTTTTAATTCAAAGCATAAATTTCAAATTTTAAAGATAAACTTAAGGAAATTTAATTTCAGATAAAGCTAACTTAATTTTATTTTAAAATAAGATATATTGATCAAAAGAACGATGAAATAATGTTATGTAAATATATTACTTAATGTATCAGTTACTTATAGATTCAATCACTGTCAAAATAAGTTCATATTTTTAAAATGTGCCCAAACTTTGCAATTGGCGAAGTGCTATAAAGAAAAATAAAAAAAACCTATCACCATAACTGGAAAAGAAAAGATATTTATTGTCCAAATTTCGCATAAGTATTGTAGTTAGGCAGGTGTCAAATATTTTGTATATTCCATACTTTTTATACTAAAAGTAGTACTACTTTTATACTAAAAGTATTTATAGTATTTTTAAGTGATGTGTCAAATTTGCGAGCCAAATTTGGTCGTGAGTTTGTAAACCATTGATCTAAGCCATTGCCAAATTTAAAACTGTCATTTTATTTAAAATGGTAGATAAAATAATAAATATTGCGTGAAATGTCTATCAAATTTCAAAATAGTTAATAATTTTTATTTTTTATTTTTTGGATAAATAATCTATCTTTAGTTAAATCCTTTTTGCAGTACTATACAAATATTTTTGTTTACTGAAATAATAAAATAATAAGTTTTTCTGGATGTTATCATCTTGTTCCAATGTCATGTGAATAATTAAGTTTTCAGGAATTATTTTTATTATAACTTACAAACAATTTCATGAAAATAAATTTCTGTGTCAATATATGTGTTTAAGCATAACTAAAATAAATAGAAATATTTTAGTTGGTGTTTTTAATGGAATTACTTTATAATTTAAAGTTAATAAATATTTGTAAAATCAAAATATGTTAACAATTTATTTTCCGTAAGTAAACAATTTTACAGTTAAGATACAAGAATTAAAGTTATATACACACAATTAATGTACAAATATTAAAATTATATTCACATAATTAATGTTGAAATATAAAATTGATAAAGAACAAAAATATCCCTGTAAAAAGAAAATTATTTCTTTCATTATACTGTAATAATGAAATATTTATGTTTAATAAAATCTAATTTTAGAACTTACATCAGAATACAAGTCACCACCATCCGTGTCCATGTCCAAAACCGAATCCATGCAATGCAGATAATGAAAATAATGGATTATAACCGTAATGACCAACTGGTTTCACAAATTTTATTATTTTAACCGCCGGATAATGGCCGTGTCCAAAACCGTATCCATGCCCATGCCCATGACCATAGCCGAAGTGATGAAAAATGTCGTGATGTCCATGATCATAGTGACCGTGATCATGACTTAATAATATAATTTTCTTATGTCCTGCACTTGCAAAAGTTACCAATAATCCAATAATAATTAAACTCAACTGTAAAAAATAAATAAAAATTTTAATTTTTTATTAATGATAAAGCAAATATAAACATTAAGCAGAAAAACTTACCATTATTTTCATATAAACGATGTGTTTTTTTTCCTTAAATTAAATTTGTTGCAGGGTGTGCTGCCGTTCTGTAATGTGAAGCAAAAAACAAATCGGTGTGTTTTTATACTCGAGGATGATCTCAAAAGTCGGCCAAATATAAAACAATTACTAAATTTATCACAAAAAATATATGAATAAGTTATAAATAACGTGTTATATATTATTTTTCCCAAAGAAGGGTACGTTTTTAAGGAAACGAACACCATGCACTATCCCGATTTGCCTTCATCACTAAGAATAGTTTTGTCGCTTCTAGCATCACCTTTTAGGTCATACAAGGGATGAGTTAAAGAGTTGTATTCTTAATTTGATATGTTGTAAAACTTTATAATAAGTCGTCTAATAATAACTTTAAACACCTGTTAACTCGTAAATCATATAAAATAGTTGAAACTTGATTACATTTTTTCAAAAAAATTGTATTGTAATTATCAAATTACAAACGTTCTGATATATTTTAAGCTTAGTCTAAAGTTACTCTATTAAAAACAAGAAACATTAAAGCAATAGACGTATGTGTATTATTTTATTAATGNTATTACAATATTTCAGTAAAATCACTTACTCGGATTAAAATCGTGATTTTATAAATGACCAAAACCGTCCTTGTTAATTAGCCCCAACGTCCAAATTCGTGTCCTCCTAATCCTTTTAAACCGTGTCCTCCTAATCCGTGTCCATGTCCACTGAGATCGCCTAATCCGTGTCCATGTCCACCGAGATCTAATCCGTGTCCATGTCCACCGAGATCTAATCCGTGTCCATGTCCACCGAGACCTTCTAATCCGTGTCCATGTCCACCGAGACCTCCTAATCCGTGTCCACCGAGTCCTCCTAATCCGTGTCCTCCAAATCCATGTCCACTATGATGAGAAATAACTGGTACCTTTTCTACTGAAACTTGTTTTACTGGTATATGCTTAAATGATACTTTTTTTACTGGCACATGCTCAACGGACACTTTCTTTACTGGAATTTGATGAATTGATACCTTTTTCACCGGTACATGATCGAATGATACTTGTTTTACAGGAATATGACTAACTGATACTTTCTTAACTGGAACATGTTCAACTTTTATAGATCCACCATGTCCATGTCCAATTCCATGTCCAATTCCATGGCCAAAACCACCGTGTCCAAAATCTAGTCCTCCACCAAAATCATGTCCGTAACTGCCATGGCCTAAACTAAGAATTCCAGCAGAGGAAAGAGCAACTAATACTTTCAAAACACAGAGGACAAGCTAAAGTGAAAATATGAATACATACATGTAAGCCTACATATTATATTTTATAAAACTAATAGCTTAAATGAAGTAATACTTTCTAACTTACCAAAGCCTTCATTTTCAATAAGAATCTTCGTCTATTCCAATTGAAGCTTCTATACAATGTATGAAACTGATTTGTGGTCTACTATGAGACCAGACTGTTTATATATCTGAAAACGACGCTAAAATTAGGCCAGATATCTCCCTCTAGCTAAATATTCTTAAATCAATAGTTACTATCGACAAAACTGATGATTGGATGACTATTATTATCTTAAATCTCTTAACTATTTGTAGAAAGTCGATAAAAATACGACAATTGCGACACAACAGGAATTTTTTCCGCGAAATATCGAACGTCTGAAAGATCTTTATGTAAAAATTCTTATTTTTAGCAATGTTATAAAACATTATATTTATTCTTTAATATATTATTTTACATATTATTCATCTCCATCAAACAAAACATTATGAAACATTCGATACATAAAAACTATATCTGATCGCACATATATTTTCTGTTTATTTATATCTAAATTAAAGTTATAGATAAAGTGAGATTTACTTAGTTTTGAACGTATAGTAAGTCATTGAACGTAGACCGGTTTATAATGACATTAAAAAATTATTAGATGATTTGCATGTGAGATGGAATTATAGATATGCTATAAACGAAGCATTTCTGTGAACACTTCTACGTCAAGCAAAAGAAAAAAAAATCTCCTCGATCTATATTCTGCCAATATTTAAACACAATGTACAATTCCTTAATGAAAAAGTTTCGTTATATATTTACAACTATTTATAGAATATTAGAAAATAAAACAATAACTATTAAATCCGGAAGCGAATCATTGAAAAAATGATGCAATTACATAAAATATAATTAATACCTTTTCTCGTCTTTTTTAGCAATTGATAATGATCTGTAGATTAAAACTGGTAAATCTATTTATATAAAAAAATTCTCGTTTCTGATAATTATTAATAGACCGTATTGAATCAATGTAAGATAATATTTGAGTATAAATACTCAGCGTGCAAGATATAGAGCTTTATTTTAAAAAATAACGAAGACAAGATTGCTTGCAAAATTTTATTGGCTTATTTTTTAGCTAATTTAAAATATATATATTAGAATTTTAATTCATTTATATTTTTCTGAATAATATAAAATATATTTTATGTCATTTCTATATTAAAATGAAAAACTTTAATATTTTAAATTTATCTCAGTTTAAGTACCGAATATCTCAAAGATTTTCGGCACTTAAACCAAATATTTTGTTTCTTTTGACAAATTGTTGTTTTGAATCGAAATGATAAATCAACAACTCGTATCTACACCAATATATATTTGACGAAATTATAAAATATACTTGTTCCTCCTCTTTTGTCACCTTCAAAGTATCTATCACACCTGTTTTGTCACTAGCATTTGCAAATTCGATGTTTTTCATTTTGTTTACTTTCCTCTATTTTTTCAAGGTTTTTAAAAAATGATTTATTCCTTTCTTGTTTTTTAATATGCAGCCATTAAAAATAAGAAATTATCTGAATATATGCTGTTATCATACTCGATAACAGCATATTAAGTTATAGACAAAACCTCATCTTTCTGCAACAACTCGTGGAAATGTATCTGGTTTTCTATATCCCTAATTATGCCTAATTATATTTGTCGTCTTTTATGTATTAACGTGTAAAAGTGTTAACATCATACATATTCAAAATTTGGCCTTCGTCCTACAAAATAAAATGTACGTAATTATTGTCTTAATAAAGTATAGTTTTTGTAATTTTCTATTCATTCATTGTTCAAGTATTACAATATTTCAGTAAAATCACTTACTCGGATTAAAATCGTGATTTTATAAATGACCAAAACCGTCCTTGTTAATTAGCCCCAACGTCCAAATTCGTGTCCTCCTAATCCTTTTAAACCGTGTCCTCCTAATCCGTGTCCATGTCCACTGAGATCGCCTAATCCGTGTCCATGTCCACCGAGATCTAATCCGTGTCCATGTCCACCGAGATCTAATCCGTGTCCATGTCCACCGAGACCTTCTAATCCGTGTCCATGTCCACCGAGACCTCCTAATCCGTGTCCACCGAGTCCTCCTAATCCGTGTCCTCCAAATCCATGTCCACTATGATGAGAAATAACTGGTACCTTTTCTACTGAAACTTGTTTTACTGGTATATGCTTAAATGATACTTTTTTTACTGGCACATGCTCAACGGACACTTTCTTTACTGGAATTTGATGAATTGATACCTTTTTCACCGGTACATGATCGAATGATACTTGTTTTACAGGAATATGACTAACTGATACTTTCTTAACTGGAACATGTTCAACTTTTATAGATCCACCATGTCCATGTCCAATTCCATGTCCAATTCCATGGCCAAAACCACCGTGTCCAAAATCTAGTCCTCCACCAAAATCATGTCCGTAACTGCCATGGCCTAAACTAAGAATTCCAGCAGAGGAAAGAGCAACTAATACTTTCAAAACACAGAGGACAAGCTAAAGTGAAAATATGAATACATACATGTAAGCCTACATATTATATTTTATAAAACTAATAGCTTAAATGAAGTAATACTTTCTAACTTACCAAAGCCTTCATTTTCAATAAGAATCTTCGTCTATTCCAATTGAAGCTTCTATACAATGTATGAAACTGATTTGTGGTCTACTATGAGACCAGACTGTTTATATATCTGAAAACGACGCTAAAATTAGGCCAGATATCTCCCTCTAGCTAAATATTCTTAAATCAATAGTTACTATCGACAAAACTGATGATTGGATGACTATTATTATCTTAAATCTCTTAACTATTTGTAGAAAGTCGATAAAAATACGACAATTGCGACACAACAGGAATTTTTTCCGCGAAATATCGAACGTCTGAAAGATCTTTATGTAAAAATTCTTATTTTTAGCAATGTTATAAAACATTATATTTATTCTTTAATATATTATTTTACATATTATTCATCTCCATCAAACAAAACATTATGAAACATTCGATACATAAAAACTATATCTGATCGCACATATATTTTCTGTTTATTTATATCTAAATTAAAGTTATAGATAAAGTGAGATTTACTTAGTTTTGAACGTATAGTAAGTCATTGAACGTAGACCGGTTTATAATGACATTAAAAAATTATTAGATGATTTGCATGTGAGATGGAATTATAGATATGCTATAAACGAAGCATTTCTGTGAACACTTCTACGTCAAGCAAAAGAAAAAAAAATCTCCTCGATCTATATTCTGCCAATATTTAAACACAATGTACAATTCCTTAATGAAAAAGTTTCGTTATATATTTACAACTATTTATAGAATATTAGAAAATAAAACAATAACTATTAAATCCGGAAGCGAATCATTGAAAAAATGATGCAATTACATAAAATATAATTAATACCTTTTCTCGTCTTTTTTAGCAATTGATAATGATCTGTAGATTAAAACTGGTAAATCTATTTATATAAAAAAATTCTCGTTTCTGATAATTATTAATAGACCGTATTGAATCAATGTAAGATAATATTTGAGTATAAATACTCAGCGTGCAAGATATAGAGCTTTATTTTAAAAAATAACGAAGACAAGATTGCTTGCAAAATTTTATTGGCTTATTTTTTAGCTAATTTAAAATATATATATTAGAATTTTAATTCATTTATATTTTTCTGAATAATATAAAATATATTTTATGTCATTTCTATATTAAAATGAAAAACTTTAATATTTTAAATTTATCTCAGTTTAAGTACCGAATATCTCAAAGATTTTCGGCACTTAAACCAAATATTTTGTTTCTTTTGACAAATTGTTGTTTTGAATCGAAATGATAAATCAACAACTCGTATCTACACCAATATATATTTGACGAAATTATAAAATATACTTGTTCCTCCTCTTTTGTCACCTTCAAAGTATCTATCACACCTGTTTTGTCACTAGCATTTGCAAATTCGATGTTTTTCATTTTGTTTACTTTCCTCTATTTTTTCAAGGTTTTTAAAAAATGATTTATTCCTTTCTTGTTTTTTAATATGCAGCCATTAAAAATAAGAAATTATCTGAATATATGCTGTTATCATACTCGATAACAGCATATTAAGTTATAGACAAAACCTCATCTTTCTGCAACAACTCGTGGAAATGTATCTGGTTTTCTATATCCCTAATTATGCCTAATTATATTTGTCGTCTTTTATGTATTAACGTGTAAAAATGTGTGATAATTTTTTAATTTTATTACCCATTCTTTGCAAATACAGAAAGGTTGATAAAAATGAGGGACAAGTGTATGTATATATTTTGTGTTTAGTTTTTTTAGAATTCTGAGAGAATAAAAAATTTATTAAATGTTTAGTGTTTTTAAAACATTAAACATTTAATAAATTTTCTATTCTGTTTTACAAATATTCTTAATATATCTACAATATAAAAAAATGAAAATTATATGATTTCATAATCAAGTTCTTTGGTAAACATTATAATGCTATTGAACTAACAGTAACTACACTATAACGGTTATAATAATTCTAAGATATAAATATCACAAATTTTTATATAAAAAATAAACTACAATAAATATTGTTATTATCATTTCATCTATTGAATTAAAATTTTTAAATGTTTTCTTTTTAAAAAGAATTATTAAAGTCACAAATATGTCGACAGTTTTATAAAATACATTTAAGAGTCAATGAATTTAGCATATCAAAACGATTTCTCGATTAACATTCACTTTAAAATAAGCGTTGGAACTGATAGCATTTACTTTAATATAGCGTTGGAACTGATAGCATTTTTAAAAATTAATTTTTAAAAATGCTATCAGTTCCAACGCTATATTTTTGAATAAAAGTTGCACGTGAATTGAATTGAATTTCTTTTGTTCAGTGATGCATGTAAAGATAGAATGAATAGATTTGCAGTGAAATATGGGAGATATTTTCCTGTTAATGTTGAGGTCAATGTCTAGGAAAATGTTACAATTTTTTTAATGTAAGACTGACCATTAAAGTCAATGTTGTATATAAAATATGCCTCCTGTTTGCTTAAACAATAGCTATTGGAAAGCATACGTATGACTAACAGATTATTATTTTTTATGTTATATTGTTTTAATGAGTAAAGTAGTATCGGGTGAATGGCTGAGCGATTCAAAATTTTCATAATTTAGAGAGGAATTCGGGTTTGAACAGACTTCTACATGAATTCATTTAATTTATTCTTCACTAAAACTAAAGAAAGCAGAACAGATCAGTGTTTTCATCTGATTAAAATCTATTTACATTAGCTAAAAACTAACAATCTGTGATATTGTTGTTTTATACATGCTAAAAAGCGTATGCTGTATTTATGTTTTTCTACAAAGTTGTTTATTAAATATTAAAGTTAAAAAAAAACAAAAATTGTGTAATTTCATGTAGATTAATTAAATAACATTTTTACTTTTTTCATCTCTATAAATACTGAAAAAGAACTTTAACAAAATCATTTAGCCAGATCCTTAATGGAATGGCCGATATAAACATTAGTGATTTAAAAATCTTTATTTATTACAAATATCTTTTGTTTCAAGTGCTACATCTTTTACTTTTTATAAATTTCTGGCTTTTTCGTGATGTTTAAAACAAAAATGATATTCTTATTATTTCATAATAGAATGCTTTTATTTGTTTCTTACTCTATTATATTTATTTGAAGAAAATAAAAGAAATAATAATTAAAAATAGTTTATAAATTTATAAATACAGTACAGTCACGAGTCAAGAATAATGTAATAATTAATGATGTAATTTACTTTGTAATCTAAAATTCTAGATATTTTCTTCATTTTCATTTAAAAACATTTCCGTTTTAAATATTCTATTTGTAAAATTATAAAAAAAATTATTTTTGTAATAGTTTTAAAACGGTAGATATGAAGACATAAAACAATGCCAACTACCTTAATTTCTTCAGGTTTATCATATGTAATTTAAATTATTATCCACCAAATATGAAAAGAAAAATATCTTAGTCCCTTACATAATACAAACCAATTAAAAATTATTTTATTTCAAGTATAGACGAACGTCAATACAGCTAGTAAGTATTTGACGTTCGTCTATACTTGAAATAAAAAAATGCACAATTCCTTTCTGCAAATAATAATAATAATAATAATAACAATAAATAATCATTGAAATTTCTATCAATCGAATTAATGTAGGAATTGTTTTCATTTTTTGTGGAGATATAATGCTAACTTGTAGGGGAGACCGGGGCAACTTCGGCATGCGGGGCAAGTTTGTCAAGCGCTTTTTTTTAAAAACAAATTAAAAGGAGACTTTGGTTATAGGTTAGGCAGTTGAGTTTTATTGGTGGCTTGTTGAGTGTAGTGTTTTTATTGTTCTCCAACAAGCGTAGTTGAATTATCAAGCAAATTTTCATTTTCGTTCAATTCCATATAATATTTTTTTTTCCATTTATATTGAATTGGCAGGTTTTGTTATAATTCCATGATAACGAAAGTTACTTTTCCTGTTAGAAGGATGTAACTTCAACTTATTCACGTGGCCAGATCGTGGCTTGGCATTCTGTTCTCAGGGTTGTACTTAATGTTTCGAAATCATGACTAGCGGGGTAAGATCGGCAACATAAAGCCACATTAGAAGCAAAGGATAAAAATCAAATAGATGATAAATGAAAACATGTTTGCATTTGTTATTCATGTATATATGTCTTTGAACTTGCATTTCGTTGTAATAATATTAAATGGGTGTTGGATTTGTATTTCTTTGTTTTAATAGTGAATTCCAACTTATACATTGTTAATAACATAATTTTATATACGTGCCTATCTTGCCCCATTACTGTTGCCCCTATACCAGGGGCAACTTTAATAAAAATAATTAAAATAATTACAACTTTACAAAAAGAGAGAAGTTGCCGATCTTGCCCCTATACCCGGGGCAACTCCGTCAATTTCTCTCTTCTTGTAAAGTTGTAATTATTTTAATTATTTTTATTTCCAAACTGATTTTAACCAGTTCTATAGTAAGGTAACATTCCAATAGACAATATGCAAAGCTTTTTTTTCAGTTTACAGCAGTATTTATTACACAAAATTTAAGTAAAGCTTAACATGCCGATCTTGCCCCGGTCTCCCCTAAATGAATATCATTTTGTTTCTTTTTTCAACTACAGCAAGAGCTGTTTATTGTAATCGCGAATATTGCGTCCTTTTAAGTGACAAAGCATCAAAGTAAGTAAATAAATGAAGTTTGTTTCATATGAAACGAATTATTGATACATTATCGGTTTTCTTACTTATCTGCTTGTCACTTAGAGCCACTTCCAAAACTAATAAATTCGAAATCCGGATTTCGAATTTATTTGTTTTGGAGGACAGTAGGCTGAGATGGACATCATCCGGATGTCATCCAGACATTGAGTTTTTTAAACATGGTTCGACCTCCCAAATTTGACCCCGCTTTATCTCAGATTGAACCTAGGAGGTATTAAAACCTCAAAACTTTTTCGGAGAACGATCTGTCCCTGATATGCCGGACCATGTCACCCATCATTTGATTAGTTTCCATAGCCAAACTCATGATGAATATGATTAAAATCGGCCTATAGACTCATACAGCCTATAGGACGGAAAGAGTTAGTATATATATACAGTGGTACCTCGGTATACGTCTGCTTTAGAATACGCC